TACTCCAAAAATAAGTGATAGAGTTGTTCACTTATCATTTAGTGTGACATGCACTCAAACGTATCAGATTTAGTATTTAACAATTTAATAACTTTATGGATTCAAACTTTAGATTAAATTTCAGTTTTCAAACTTCAAATTTACCAAATGCACCCATAGAGAATTATATTACTCATGTTGCCTGCTCAAATGAATGTTTAACTAGCAGAATTTGTGTAAATATACAACGCATAGTTCATAATAAATCAATAACTTCATAGCAAAAATCATTTGATACAAAATTGCACCAAAATCAAAGTCAAAGTAATTCATTCCATGTTTATAAAGGAGGACAAACTGAAAAAGCAGTAACATGAAAAAATGAAGAAGCAGAAAAGAAGAACAATGTCCTATTTGACTAATAATACTTACAATTTAAACAAATGGAGTTTAAGTGCTGACAAGCAAAATTAAGGGGGCACAAAGGGAGACAAGTTTTGAAGTGCAGGGGGTTAAGTATAAATAAAATATTTACAAATATGCTCTTTAAGAAATTAAAAGTACAAGAGTTTATGCATAGCGCACAACAGCAGAAAATTTGCAAATATGGTACCTTGCCAATGAGTATTTCGTTGGTGTGAGGTCCATAGATATCGGAGGTGTCAAGATGGGTGATACCTCTGCTAATAGCATGGTGGATGAGTTTGATCATATCAGGCTCGGGCTTTGACGGCCCGTAGGAGCCTGACATGCCCATGCAGCCCAGCCCTTGAGCTGAAACTTCAAGACCTTGCGAGCCCAGCTTGATTCTTGGCACTTTCACTTCATCTGACGCCGCCATTTTCCGACAAAAACACAAGACAGAGGAAAGAGTTGAGTGGAGCAGAGTTTATTGTTTAGTAGCTGAGACCTGAAGAAGAAGTATGGACGGGACTGATGAGGGATGCGTGTGGGGATCATTCTATGGCAGGCACGGTTTGACCGTGCCTACCATAGGAACGTGCTCAGAAATAGGCACGTGCACGTACACTGATGATTAATGTAGTGAACCGTAAGGGAAAATGGACACTGGAGGCCACACGCGCATGAATTAAGCGTAGGGAGGAAATGATTTCGGGAATAGTTAATATTCCCATTTATCATTGATTTGAAATTCTACTTATTTTTTTAATTTTTCGCATGTCGTTTAACAAGAAAAAAATAATATTTTATTATTATTATTAGATTAATAGAAAATTCAAATTTATCTTTTTAACATTTAGTAAAAATGGAGTTTAAATGTATATTTATTTTTAAATGAGTATAAATGGGTCAGTCCAATCAATCAACTATCCACCAATCAAATGAATTTAATTACGTACTCACTTAGACCCGTTTAAATTTTAATGGGTGAATTTGAACGGGTTATTAGTAAACGGGTTTGAACAGATCAATATAATTGGATTGTGATTGTATATGAAATTATGAATTATGAATATCTATGAAATGATTTATATTCTTGCAACTCCTTATGTATGATAATAAATGTCATGAACTACAAGTTGCCATTGCCACACATTAATATTATATGTTACCGGTTAAATGTTATATTGAATAGTTATTAACATACATAGTCTATGTGTGAATGCAATTGTCTCTAATTGAACTCAATTGCTGACTTGGCATTCTCTCATTGGCTGATTGGTGGTAGTCCTCCAATTGATTCTAATTTGATGAGTTGTTGCCCTCTGATTCGTTCATTGGTGGTAGTCCTCCCAATTGTTTATGAAGATGGTGATGTGGCGAGTTTTGATTGGATGGGAGGTGGTAGTTTTCTAATTGCATGTAGGATTGTGCTAAAATTTAGCCTTTTTTTTCCCTTTCCCAACAATAAATTGTGTTAACAAAAAATTGGTATCCCAATTATTCACAATTATCAATGCTTTTTTTGGTTGCCAAATAAATCACAATTATTAATTATTATTTTTTATTTATTGTAATAATTGCTTATGCTATGCTCTAGCTGTATTAATTATTATTATGTTATCTTTATTATGTTATGCTTTTCTTTTTAGCCATTTTCTTTGGCATTTTCTCTTTTCGAGTTTTCGTTTTAGTCATTTTTTTGGTGTCTTTCATGCAGGTGTTTTGTTGATCTCCTGCTCAGAAAAAGCAATCCATATGCTAACTAAAAAGATCAGTTGTTTAAAATAGATTTTTTCATCTTTAAAATGTCTTTCTATTTGCTTTAGTTCTTCCAGTTCCCTTTTCTTCATTGGTTTTCAGCACTTGATGAATTAATACATTTCTCCTCTGGGAATCTAGAACTTCCATGCCAAGTTAGTCATTGACCAAAATTTTGAGTTACACTAGCAGCACTAAGAATAATTTGATTAGAGTTCACACTGATGTTCCTGCGCCTGATATGGGAACAAATGCACAGGTCAGTGCAAAACTGGTTTTCAACAGTATGATATGATTGGAGTACATATCTAGGTGACATTTTTGTTTTTGGAGAAAAATATAGTGATAAACACAACATTGTCTATGAAGCTCATCCAATTAACTGGATTGGAAATGTCTCGCATTTGAGCGGACAATGGCTTGGATGAGTACTATAAATTTCATGGCTATTCACCTGCAATAGTAACTGGAAAACCTGTAGTAAATTATCCAATTCCAAATGTATAAGGATCAATGTGCTTCTTTGATTTCTAAGATTTTGAACCTCAAAAAATTTCAACTTTTATTTATCGCAAGATATTCAAATTCTTGGGTGACATGATCTTGGTGGATCCCTCGGCAGAGATGCACCAACAGGGAGGGGAGTACTCTTTGCAACTAAAGCGCTGCTTAATGAATATGGAAAGAGTATCGCTAGGCAATGATTTGTTGTACAAGTAGCACCACTGGGAAGTGTACCTTCAGTTTATAATATGTTCGAATACTGTGGGATGCATTTGTAGTTTCAAGTGTACCTTTAGTTTCTGATATGCTCAAATACTGTGGGATGCATTTTGTTGAAACTACAAGCTCATTCAAAGAGCCTTCCTTGAGGACTTAGAAGTTACATCACAAAATGTCTCATGACTCGTGAGAAGAGAGAGCGAGTTAAAAAGTCAAAAATTATCGAATGTCATATGATCATAGAATTTTCTTCTTGATTTCAGGGATTTGGTAATGTCGGATCCTGGGCTGCTCAACTTATCAGTGAACAAGGGGAAAAGGTAATTCGCGCAAGTGATATAACAGGAGCCATAAAGCAGCACGGTAAGGGAATTGACGTACCAAACCTATGGAAGCATGTCAGGGAAAACCATGGAGGGGTGCTGACAGTGTTGATCCCAATTCTATTTTGCTTGAAGACTGTGATATTCTTATTCCAGCAGCCCTCGAAGGTGTTATCAATAGGTGGTTCTTCTAGCCTTAACATAGATTTTGTCCGACACTTGGTATCTTGCTTTTATGTGATTTTCTTACTTACAATACAAATGGACATTTGAATTGATTAAAGGGATAATGCAGATATTAAAGATAAATTTATACCAAATTTGCATCACTATACCTTTTTTGTATTTGTTCGTAGCTGTTTGTTCTGTTTGGATCCTGTCATGAGTTGCTTCGACTATTCTTTTTTATATTACTGACCTTTAATTTTTTAGCTTTTTCCATACACACATACATATATATGTGGTTTGTGCTTTGTTGCATGATGTAGGACATTTGTAGGCATTTTTTAAATTATTTTTGGGAAAAAATTTAATGTGCAATAATAAGAGTTTTTTAAATATGTTGTTTTCATATCATGCCGGGTGGAATTTCTCTTTTTTTTTTTGATACAGTTTAATATGGTCGAATTCTGATTTACAGATATAATGTAGAGGTTTTTGTTTGTTGATGATTGCCTGGGCTAAATTTTGTTTACTTCTTTGATGTCTAATGTTTTATGTGATAGAAATTTAGGAATCTAAAAAATCTAAATGTTTGTTTATCTCCATAGCGCTTAAGTGCCCAGAAGTTTTAGTATTTACTAAGTTTCCATAATTTTGACGTTTTTCTCTCCATTTTCTGCTTTAGAGATTAGTTATTTTAATATTTGCTTTGTTTGCATTGCTAATTTGCTCTTTTCCTCTTATTAAAAAGGAACAAAAGAAACTATTGCCATCACGAAGAGATCTCCCCTCAAATTCTGGTTTTTGACATTGACTTTCTTTTCTTTTCATTTTCTTATTTGGGCTTTTGCTTTGAACTCACCGAATTTGTGATAGTTACTCTCATATTGGTAAGAAACTTTGGCCATGATTTTTTTTATTTGCTCAAAAGTCACCAATTTTTCTAGATTGAGAATGATTCTTCCTTACACTTATCCTATTTCTTTCCGCATGTACAAAGAAATGTAATTTTTGTTTCCTTTTTATTATAAATTTAGCTTACCTTACACAATAAAATAAAATTAAAATTAAATAAATGTTTAAGTTTACATGTTCCATCTTATTTGTTTTGCAGATTAAGCGAAACTTGAGTACTGGTTGCTTTTTGTTGAGGTCGGAGCAAACAATGAAAATTTCTCGACTTTTCTTTTCTTTTTTTTTTTTCCCTTCAATTATGTTATAAATTTGCTATTCCATGTTATAGGAGCCAATATGAGGACTTTGTCAAGCTAAAGTGCATGATCATCTATCTTCATTTTTTCTCCTCTAATTTCTTTTATTTCTAGGACAAGTAAATGATTATCCAACTCAATCATGCAAAAGTTTACGAACAAAACTATCAGTTTCTCCTCAAATATATCTTTCTTTTTTTTATTTTCTTTTCATTGTATCCAAAACAAGGGACATCTTAATAATCTCAGTAATCTATTGATTATATTATCATGCATTACCTTAACAAATTACTTATTTTCATTGTTTAATAAAACTACAAAAATATAACCACAAAGATTTAAGTTCATTTTTATATAATTTTTCATACTTAATATCTAAATTTGAATAATTGGTCATTTTTGGGCAAGGTTGAAAATTACACCGTGCGAATCCTCCTAGTGCATGTAAAGTGTGTGAAAATGCTTTGATATATGTAATACTACAATTACATGGTACAACAGTAGAGTAGCTGTGACGCCCCCACTTCTCCCTAAGGCGAACCAAAGGGTATCCGCGGAACGCCTGCCCAACTCTCGTCAGGACTCAAGCAATCACCATTCAAGCTTATAGCGGTGCTAGAAATCAACAACCAGAAAAGATAAATACAATTAACGCGGAAGCGTTCAAGCTTAATGAGATATAACAATCATCAAATTCTTATAGCGGGTTTCCATAATACAACCCAAAATATATAATATCCCAAAAGTCTAGACAAAAGAGTTGGAACCCTATTACAAGAGTACACAAAAGAGAAATTCCTCCGAATCTCACTCCAAGCCCAAATCCTGTTAAGGAAAACAAATCTACAGGGTGAGCAAAACGCTCGTGAGGCCAAGAACACACATGTAAGCACATTGTTCAAGTAACAACCCCAATTTAACAAGTAAAGCGACAATATTGCAATAAATAACAATTCGAGTGGAAAAGTAAACAGAAACAATTCAAGGATATCGGAGCTCTCAGAAGCTAATTTCCACTTACTTTGCCAATATCATTCGTATACCTTCCCGCGATGACACTCCGTCAACCGGGTCGGTATTTCCATTCCGTAGATCACCACTTACTTCCCTCCGTCCACCGTGCACCTCCCGGGCCCGCAAGACATTTATAAGGCGATACTCCACGAGTATGCCAAGCAAGACCTCTCATTAGGTCGAGCTTATTTATCTCATGGCTTGCCAAGGTTCCCGACCAATCCCATGCCGGCTCGAGTCCAAGTTCGGCCTATGAGTTTGGGCGTCCCCCATTTTTATTTGAGAGTCAAGGAGATTCACTCCAACGACGTATGCAGCCATAGCATACCATTTCATTTCATTCAATCATTCAATCATCTCATTTCATTCAATTAAGCCATTCATAATTCATTTAGTACATTTGAATCATGAGTCATTTATTTCAAATAAGAATGAGTGCGGTAAAATACACACTCGCCTCTATTTTCAAAATCTCCAAACAATCATAACAATTAAGCATGTATCAAGTATTCATACACTTGACACTCATCAATATAAGTAATGAGGAAGAAATGTCCCTCAGAGCTTTAGGCGTTCACTGTGGGATCCTCTTGAAGGTTCTCGTGTGCGCCTGAGCAAATAATAATAGACTATCATTCACAAACCCCCTACTATTAAAGAAGATCATACCACAGTACAATCTTAGAAAGTCTCGTGAAACGAGCCCAAATTATTCTAAATCAAGGCTCTCAAGTGGGGTTTCAAAGTACAGGAGAAATTTAGTTTTCATCTTGGAAATCAAGTATAAAATGTTCAAGTAATATCGAAGGAATAAGGAGTACTTGAAAAAACTCCATTTCCTTGGAATTCGGAAAATTTCAGTTTTGATACGATACATTAGAAAAATCGTATCTCACGCTTTACAAGTCAAAAATTGGAAAACTTGGTACCGTTGGAAACCTCTTCCAAGGTACTAAAAGTTCCTAAAATACATTTTTCTAAGATTCCAAATGAAAAATATTCAAAAATAAGCTCAAAGTCGCTGTTTTGTTTCATAAGGCAGATTTAAGTTGGTTTTTGGCCAACTTTGAAAATTCGGCAAAATTCACTTAATTGGAACTAGCCTTTGAAATTAGGAACTCTATTAGAGTCGCAATCTAAGTTTACAACAAAATAAGCGGAACGAGAAACGGAGTTTTGAGCACTAAGATATGGCAATTCAAAGTTACCAAAATTCCCTTGTGAAACAAGGGTTTTCCAAACTCGAGTCATGAATCTTGGTAATTTAGTCGAGCAGTGAAATGGACTCGGATTAACACCAAGTTTGGCAATATAATACTCCTATATAAAGGGTATCCCTCTATCAAATTTCATGGAAAAATACCTTCGGGAAAGTAGTCAACCAAACATCCAAAGTTTCGAAAAATCCTAAGGCAAAACTGCCTTGAGCTTTTTTTTTTGTTTTCCATTCCAAAACATTTGACCAAGGAAAATCCTTCAAACATGGTTCATTTGTGTGGGAAAAACCTAAGGAACATTCATGGTACATTTGGTAAGTGTTTCAATTCCAAGAAATTCAATTGGCAAGTCTACACCAAGTCTAGCATCAATTCTGCCCAAAATTTAGGGTTTTCAAGAACAAGGCAGGTTTCGTATTTTGATCACAAATCACTCAATTCAACTCGGAATTGAGCATGGGTGGTGGCGTTGGAAAATGCATTCATGAAACTATAATTTCACAGAAGAAATCGTTCTGAAATTCAGCACACAACTAGCTCAAATTCAAGCCTCAAGTTGTAGCTTCTGAACTTCGTTCCAGGAAAATAGAGAAACATGACAGTCATCTTTAAACGGTTGGTACGGAATACTCGGGTGGAATTAGGAGTTATATTTTATACCATTGGAAATCTGGGAATGTCTAGTTTCAAATGCCACTGACGGCACTTGATTTTGACATCGAAGCACAGAGTTATGGACGAAACAAGAAAGCTGTCTGAGCATTACGGGAAAATTTTTCCAGGTTTGCTAGCTGTGCGAGATTAATCCATTTGACCAACCAAACCTCAATATTTTTCGATGAAACTTTATACAACATCTATACAACAGATAAACATCATATACAAACCATTAAAACCTCAAAATTCTGCAAAAAGAGGCACAATCATAACAGGGGCAGAATTGGAAGCTTTACATCCATGCACTCCTTGAAGTTTATACTAGCTATGCACCATTAATCTACCAATTTGAGCACTAAACCAACATTAAATCCATCATCAAGCATCATATCAGCCATCAACCCAAGAGTGGGAGTTCATAGAGCCCACATTCAAAATTTTCCAACAATAACAAGCCACCCACATGAATATCTAAGCTCATAAGTGTAAATCAACTTCCATAGACCAAGAATTTGAGAATTGATCGTCACTTACTTGTGTTGGTAAACAAGGCAGAATTTTGGCCCTCTCTTAGCTCAAGAAAACCGTGAAAAGCTCCCCCTTTTTGCAGCTTAATATGATCTCCAAGTATTAAGCTAAGTGTGTGTGAAATTTGGAAGGAATTGGAGATGATTTGTGCAAGATTTTGAGATGAAAAATGATGAACTCCTTGGGTTATTTTTGCAGCTGATGGCCGGCCACTTTGTGAGGAAGAGAGAGAGTGTTTTGATCTGATTTAGCTTCCTAAGAAAGCTTTATTTGTGTGGCTAGAATTGGTGCAAAAGTCAACTCTTCAATAGTGCGCGTACGCGTGCGTTTTGTGCTCGATTTCTCTCGCGTTCATTTCACTAGTGCCCTAAACCTCCAATATACTTATAATCATATTAATATTATTTACTCTTAATTGTCCCAGAATAAGGGTCTAAAGTCCCCCAATTAAATCGCGCGTGTAAAAACGCGTATCTCCAACTTAAGCGCGATAAAACGAAACTTCCAAGAAATTCTTATAACGATAGTACTAATAACTATCACTTGAATATTTAAACATAGAAATACTTATTTTAGGACCATTGTACAAGTCTCCAATTTTCCCAACTTATGGTATTTCCAAATCAGCTAAAATCCCTAATCGCGTATTCACCATATTCACTTAATGAGCTTCCAAAAATTAAATTTTGAAACGAGACACTTTAAAAAAAATATAACGAAACTATAAATCCATGTAATTAGATTTAAAGAGGTTAGAAAATAATAATCAGAGTAAATGGACAATTAAATATTTAAATATGCTCGGAATGGATTTTAAAAATAATAAATTTTTGCGAGACATCACAGTAGCTGCTACCTACCGAGCAATCATCGCTCAACCCATTTTTATTACTTTTGTAGATTTTGGATATTATGAGTTAGTCTATGTCCAAAACCCAAAAAATGATTTCTACTAAATCTTTAGGAGATAGGAATTAGTAGTATAGTTGTACTTCGCTATACTATAATAGTTGATACTCGCACATGTTATCTCTACTTGATGTTTAGCATATGAAATCCTCAAATATTTATAGGTTATTTCGAATACAAAGTTATACCGCACTATAATTAGTTCCATTAATGCTATTACTTTTTAAGTAAGTATTTCTAGTTTAATATTGTCTTGTCCTTGAGAAATATAACAGATGTCTCGTTACTAGCACGTGCGAGAAATATAACAGAGCAATGAGGCGTGACAGCTACACTATTTTTTTTCCCCCAAATGATAACAAGTATTCCTTTTTTTTTTCCAAACTATAATATTCAGAAGTACAATAGATAATTTTTAATGCATACTGCAAGGAAAATTACTATATGCTTTTACATGACCAAATCTTCATTCATTACAATCACTCTTAAAACTCCATTCTTCTTATTATAACTTTACATGCCTTAACCCCCGAGACAATAATATGACGAAATTTCTTGGAACAAATACATGCTACTCAACTCCCAATATAGTGAAATCCACCAACAGGCACACAGCTAGAAGGGATTATTGCCATCACAAAGGTACGCCTTCATGTCCTCTTCCAGGTTGACAAAGGTGGAGTTTCAGAAGTTTTCCAAGTGCCAGCGTCAGACTCGTATCTCTCACCCTTGATAGCCGAAGCAATAGATTCAAGTTCCGCCATTTCCTCTGCCGACAGTTTCACAGACAAAGCTCCTATATTCTGATCGAGGTTCTCAATCTTGGTAGTGCCAGGTATGGGGCAAACATCTTTGCCTTGGTGATGGACCCAGGCCAAAGCTAGCTGTGATGGGGTACAACCCTTCCTTGAAGCAATGGCATTGACCTGCTCGTACAAGTTCTTGTTGTGCTCCAAATTCTCTGCTTGAAACCTTGGCATATACTGCATTGTACGAATTTCGAAATTTAAGCAACTGTAATGCCAGAAATTCAAAAGGGAGCAACACGTGTTGTCTACAAATGAAAACATTACGAATAACTTCAAGATGATCGATACTATTGCTTGAGGCGTACAAAGTTCAGGGGAAAGAACAATCCAGTAAGGTGGACTGAGTACGCTAAGAAACATCAATTGTAGAAGGTAGATCCTGAGAAACATATCCCATCAGAGAGGAAACTCGAAATAGAAATCCAATACAGTTTCATACCATCTGGACAGTATTATCAAGTGAACTTGTGACCAACCAAACTGTAGAGGATGTATATGAAAAGGGAAAAAAAACAATTTCAGAGGACAATGTATAACTTTTGTGCCTAACACCAGATGATGCCATTGCAATGTAAGTCCATTTCCCCTCAAAATTGTGAAGAGAATATTACTAAAAAATGCCATAGTTTCTTCCTTTTCTCATGTCTAGGATGTTCTTCCACCATAAAATAGAACACTCCCACTGCTTGTGATATTTGACAATGCTATTGCTATCTTCAAATTCAAACTAAATACAGAGCACACACTTTCAATCCTGTCTGTACAAAAGGTTCAGTTTCTAACAATGCCAAAAACTGCATTTATTGGAATCCAACGCTAGAAGACTTGGTGGATAGAAAAAAGCTTGTTGTGCCGCTTTGTTGGACAGAAGTTAATTAAATTAGATAGTTTCAGAAAAGCTCCACCAAATTATTGGACATCAAAGGGATATTGAGCAAGATTGCTACTGACTATGCTACACTAGAAACTACTAATCTTTTTGGATATTCACAAACCTTTCGGTAGTCATCATCAGTCAAATTCTCAACCAGCTTTGGACCTGAAGAGAAGAATCCTCTTCCAAGTGGACTGTATGCAACAATCCCTATTCCAAGCTCTCTACAAGATTACACCAAAATGAACTTAGAACTTCATATTTCTTCCAGACCATGTAGAAAATGAAGCAGGATAAATGCACTACCTGCAAGTGGGAATAATCTCTTCCTCGATATCTCTGGTCCACAATGACCACTCCAACTGTACAGCTGTTATTGGATGAACAGCATGTGCTCTTCTAATTGTTGAAGCTGAGGCCTCGGATAGACCTATATACTTTATTTTACCCTCTTCAACCAATTTCTTAAGTTCTCCTACCTGGGCAAAATAGAATTTTTGTAATGGACGAGAAATTTCCCAGCTGATTTTTTCCATACTAAGGTAGATAATTGAAATTATACATGCATAAACGAAAAGAAGAACTAGTTCAGTGCAGTGGCACAACTTTGACAAAGTATACATCAAACTGAAAGCACTACTTGACAAAAATGGCAACAAGCAGCCAATATACTTCTCTAGATGATGATGATGTTAACTCACAGGTTGACTTAGCTCTGATATCATTATACCACATTATACAACATTATACAACTTTCTTGACTTCTTTTAAACAGACTAATGGCTGCACACATCAATTGTCAGTCATCAATTTTGCTTGATCTCATTCAAACTTACCTGTATTTTGAGTGATTGTACGATATGAAAATTTCTTCCTACTACTCAGGAAAAGCAAAATATATTTTGCTGGCTACACCAGGAAAAGAACTTACATAAATCGTTCCATAAAAACTTCAATTTGATAAAAACTGAGTACCAATCTGCTGCTTTATGCACTGAATTAAAAGAAGTGGCAACTGAGAACTGACAAGGTGGATAAATTAGCATATGAATACTCAACCAGATTACATATTTCAAATGAAAGAGAATACACAGGCCTTCTCGTCCTAAAGGAAAGCCATAGAATCTATAGCATGTCATATCCATTGGTAACTCCCTCAGCAGGGCCGTCAAGCTACAATTTTTGTGCCTACAAGACTAACACTATGGTTCTTTTTAATTTTGAGATGCTGGTGCTAAATGAGCTTTACATTAATGCAGACTAACATGCATAGTACACCAATTGCATTTTTTAAGAATTTTTTTTTTATTTTTGTATTTTTGAAGCAATTGCAAAGGACACGAAACTCAGTTGTATGCCTATATTTGAAGTTGATCAAACTTTTATTTAATTAAGAATGTGGAACTTAAAAACAAGAAAGGAAAAATAGAGCAAACCGTGACTTCAATGGGCACATTTGTATCAATGCGATGCTGATAATAGAGATCAATGCAATCCAAACCAAGCCGCTTCAAGCTGCCTTCACATGCAGCTCTCACATAGTCTGGATCACCACGTATACCAAACTGCCCACCCTCATAAGTGAATGCAAATTTTGTTGCTAGCTCCACTTTCTCTCTGTTTCCTCCCTTCAAGGCCTACAACCATGCTTTCATAACATCAATCACCGAGGACATACATATTATTGCATGTTATAGCAAGTTGATTTGTGATCCATGCATGGCACAAACTGTCAGAGATTTTCCATCCTTTTCATTTTTAAGACTATTCTACTTCTTCCCATTGAATATGGTAGCATGCAGAATGAAGATTATGTAAACCATGGACTTTAGAAGTTTGATTCAGTTAAAGGAGCCAATCCCTTTTCTTTTTTCTGTTCTTCTTTCTGTTTCTTTCAGTCTATCTTTACCATTGATAAGATTTGATGCAAAACATGAACATAGACAGAGAGTCGTACACATGAACCTGAATAAAAAAGAAAAAAAAAAAAAGGAAACTCAAATCAAATTATTAAGGTGCAGTAAATAGTGCCCTATTAGGATCCAAATGAAAACATCCAAGTGAAAAAGAAAGAATAGGAGACTAGAGGAGTACAGTTTTCCTATTGCCCTGTTTGGAAAGTAAATTATCTAATACTGGTAGTTTTCAGAAAGACTTCCCAGATAGTGAGAGTTCCTACGCATTCACTAACTACAGGTTTGTTATTTTAATTGATTATATATTCTAATTTTGAATAATCAATTTTTATGACGCTTCAGATTACAATTTTTTTAATAACCAAAAAATCTGAAATTCATAATTGGCCAAAGCACAATTTTTGCTGATTCTAATTATTTTTTATAAACACTTCCCATAATCAAATTTTGCAAAATCTAAAGCAACCAAGAACAAAGTCAAAACTAAAAGTACAAGAGCTCATGCATACCGCACAACTGCAGAAAAATGCAAATAAATATGATTAAAGTCACCTTGCCGATGAGGATTTCGTTGGTATGGGGTCCATAAGCATCAGAGGTATCAAGCAGGGTGATGCCTCTGCTAATAGCATGGTGAATAAGTTTGATCATGTCGGGCTCGGGCTTTGGTGGCCCGTAGAAGGCTGACATGCCCATGCAGCCCAGCCCTTGAGCTGAAACTTCAAG